ACAATAACAAGGTGCACTAAAATGATTCCTACACCAGGCGCAACGGCATTATCACCGCGCGCGCATTCAACCCACGCAGCCCTAACTGCTAATTAATAAATCTAACGGCCTGTTTCCACACTCTCTTGATTTACTTGACCAAGCGGAACGATATGTTAATTTTAGGGCGAAAGCGAAGCTCGGTTGTACTTAGTTTGGTCATGTTACGTGCAGACAAATGTAGGAATACGGAATGGTTACCGACGCGACGCACGATACATAGATTACGTATGAACGGAAGAAACCACCTTTATCTACACTACCTCATCACAAACAAATCATCCGAGATGAGATAATATTTGGTTTAGATAACATTGAAAATATTACACAATAAATATTAGTGTCTTTATTTATTACAATTCCAGGCCTCTTTTTATAGGTCCTTTACCCAATAAGGTTTATATTGAACAATAATGCAATAAATAAGCATGTTTCTTAAAATTTAATTATTTGCAGAAGCGGGTATTCCAAAACAAGTTACTAGTAAATTACGTGCAAGATCGATCGATCAGAAACCCTTATTTGTGGAGGGCATACCATGGACATCAAACGGGCGTATTGCGGGTCAACGACTGCGCCCCGGCCACCGCCGCTCGAGGTGAAATAATTCATCTAGCTAGTCCATTCGACACGGTGTGAGGTAAGTACTATCGGAACACGGTCTAATATGGTGACCGTCACACACTGATGACAGGACACGCATTCTCACACAAATCGATTATGAAAAATGGCATTGCGGAAAGATGGAAAACGACCAACAACATCTATAAACAATATTGGAATCGTGAGTCAATTATGACAATAAAATTATCGTTTCGTTAGTTTTGTAACCGCAAGGACAATACACTTTCTATATAAAAGTTCACTCTGTAGTCTTCAAATAGGAGAATAATAAATACAAAAAGTAACAGAAACCTGTTTAAGCACGTCGGTTGAAATTTAAAACAGTAGAGTTCAGTGACAGGCGAACAACACGTAAACGGCCATCAACAGACCCATTGTCAGGAATTCGGGCGACGAGCTTGCGCACGCGCACGATACATTTATTGCTGCCCAATTGTATTGAGGCCCAAAAACAAAATGTATTGTCAAAAAGTAGTACAAAAACAAGTAAAGGAGAAGGAGGAGACTGAATGAAATAAATGCTAAATTATCTAAGCATATAAAAGCCGTGAAGCGATGCACTGAAACCAGCTCCTATGTAGTCCTTGAACATCTGTCTACCTAACACGTTACACGTACAGGACATGTGCAGCAAGGATCAGGTGTCCCGCCGCACTGACCGTGGGCAAATCCTGCCGGACGGGTTGCCGAGCCGGTCGCCTCACCCGACTGTTGATACGAGAAAGTAAAAACTCAAATATTTTTGAACATCAAATGGCACCGATAATGTACATAAAAAGTATACGCCAATTACGAAGGATTTAAAGATCGCGATCAGAAACATCGACGCTCGGTAAGATTCAAAAAGAGAAGGACATCAACGATGCGACAATTAGAATTAAAGTGAACAATGTTGCATGAACAAAAAGATCTAGAGTGAGCCTCGTTACGGATAACGAGGCGTCCTCCGAGGCGAAGGCGAAAAGAAACGATTTAATTGCGTCCACAATTAGCCTACAAAACAACCTGTTGCGTTCGCATTACTGAAGCGTTTAATAAGAGAAACAAGTGATGATTTGTATTCGGACAGACTAGATACTATTTGTGTATGAATGGTGACTTTGATTTACGTTTTTGTTATATATCATTTCTCTGGACCTTCGGGCTCCGCGCCGTTCTGATTTAAGGGTGAAAAATATTACGCTGAAGAGGTAGCTCATGCGTAAATTAGCGTTGCATTAAGACAAAGCACGTGCCTCGGGTGGTGCTGAGCCGAGGCAGGCTAGTCTGCATTAATCGGCTAATTAGCCGCCTCTCGTTACTCGGGTATATTGTGCCGTCTAGACGTATTCCGGCTTTGTTCCGAGTTGGAACATCAACAAGGAGTTGATTAATGGGACCTTTCTGAGTTATTGTTTTCACATTAGATGCCAGAAGGTTTCTAAGGGAAAAAAAATATGCAAATCGTCAAAATTGAAGAAGTAAACAGTATTAAAAGTAGATCCAGATTTAAAGATGATATAGCACAATAACAAATAAGTATCACACGGGACTAAGCTGAAGAAAGTTTCGAAGAATAGCACTAAAAGTAGAGTTCGTATTGGCCTACTCAATGAACTTGGGAAATTTTACTAGACGTTGGCTAAAGGCCAAGAAAACATGATGGTTACGGGGACAGATAGCAGATGGCGCGTATGAACACTTGTGCGCCACGGCTATGCCATAAAGGCTATGTAATTATTGACATATCGGTAATTATGAGGCTGTCGTCGTCATTGGATCGAGTGGCTGGTGCAGTCCAAATGTGTTTGTTTGCTTTTCGATGGCCGTGTTTGGCTACGGGGTCGAGGTTAAGTCCCCTTCAGTTCATCCTTAATCTGTTAGTGTACAGAGAAACTAAGAACCGTGCCTTCACTTCCCTTACAGAATAGTTAACCTGCAATTACGATTAGCTGTCCGGAACAATAACAATAACAAAGTACCGCTATTAGACTTGTGACTGCAAGGGGCTCACAGGGGTCTATTCTGTACTGCATCGATTCGTTCAAGGCAGGTTTTGACGTAATCCAAAGATGAATATCAATAACCGTGTGGCTGCGGGGTTGTACACAAATCGGTGTGTTGTGTGCGGGGGTGGTATCGATCAGCGTGCGACCGGCGCGCCAGCGGGCCGGGCAGGCGGGAAGCGCGCGCCGCGCCGGTACGTGCGACGTGCACTTATCGCCGTCTTCACACCTAATTTATCGCGTGTCGCCATCGAACCGCTGTTTGTATACACTCTTATTATATGTTACACATTTTTGTGTTATTATTATGCTACGCTACATCAGCTCACACTTTTCTTTACATGAATGACTGTAATCGATACTGAATTGAATACGCGGTTTGGTTGTGAATACGATTAAAATAAAGTGATATAAACTTTTACGAATTTGAGTCATAAAGTGTTTCAATTTTATGCATTTTCTGGCTTCTATAGGCGATGATTTGAAATCTTAAAAAAAAATAATTTTGTACAAGCATATAAAAGGGCAAAAGAAAGAAGGCGGCCCCTACACCATAGTTAAGAAATTAACATTTGACCGGGTTATTGAAAATTAAAATATTCAGCGGCACGCAGCGGCTACACGAGTCATATTTTCATACAAATGCGTGTTACAACTATTTGTGTTGCTACGGTTCCGTGAAGGTCGTTGGACACGTGGTCGACACGTAAATTAGATCGGGTGCGTGGGGGCGTGCGGCTAACGGGGGTTAGGACTGGCCAATAGGCGGACCGAGGATGGGATCGATACAAGGCCAAGCCCGCGCTCGCATCCGCGCCCGCGTCCGCAAGCACTGTGCGATTGACACAAGCACCGCCCCACTAACCAATACCAATCCGCCATTGCATTACAATTGTTACGTAAAAGGAGGCAGGATACTATTACCTTACTTCAACAAACATTCAAGAATAATAAATTAGCTCTAAGAACGTTACTTTACAAGCTATGAAGAAACAGAAAGAAATGTTTACTGACAACCACTAAACAAATACTCATTGTTATAAATGTTTGTCGATTCTGGGCAACAATAGGTTGAATTCAAGACCAAATTTTCGAACAAATAAAGGCCAACCAACCCACCATCCCTATTTACGGGTAACATTGTTATTAAGCCACGATATGGGACGAAAAACCGGCAGTTCGGACAGACATTATCTTGAAAATGGTGATATTCTGGTCCGCATAACGTTGGAGATACAAAGCGTGTCGGTATGATCAGGGTGAGCGATAAAGTGGCTAGTATATCGCTGGTGTATTAATAATTAAGGCGAGGGCGGGCCACTGGGGGTACACCTTGACACCCCTTGAACCCGACCACTCGCCCACCTCCCTGTTATTTGCATGCTCCGGCCCGCCAGGTGTCGAGATTAGGGATTGCAATCCCGCAAAACGGGATCCAGCATTCCCGCGGGATCCCGCACCACTTATTAATGTTGTGGATCCCGCAGCTTTAAAACGCGGATCCGCGGATGGCGCTAATTAAAATTTTTCGCTAAAACATTCTTGTAGTTTCGCGTAAGAAAGCGAGTAGTGCGAGTGCGACGTTGCCGTTTTGCACAGTGGCGGAGGCTGGCGGGGGCGCGGGGGGGGCTTCGTGTCATGCGTGTCGGTTCGTGCAGTCAGTCGCACCGCACGCGTCTTGTCTGCAAGTGTTTTCGTACTAATCGTCCAGCGTGCTGCGTATGTTCAACGTAAGTATATTATTAATTTGGATTTAGTTTTTTATTTGCTCTTTCAAATGCAGATTTTGCTGTAAATAGCAATATAATGTTGTAATGATAATGTATTCTTGGATATTCACGTAAAAGTTATTTTTGTTTTAATTTTAACGTTTTTTTGTTATTTATAGTTCACCAATATGCTTTGCTTTTGCTAACAGATGAACACATAATATTTGTTATTAGAGGTGGTCGTGATTTAACGTAACTATTTACAATAACCAGTGACTTAATGTGTAACTGAATAGCTAGTTACGAGTCAAAGTATAAGTAGTTATTTTTGTAAATACGTCATTTCATACACACATTATGCCTATATTACTATAACTGTACACACTCAAGAAAATGATTTAATTTAGTTTCGTTTCATGTGTAACTGTACAGTTGGTGGATGGGACGTATTTATGTAAACAATCACAGTAACTGAATGAAAATAACTCGTTTTATAACTGGTGACGCCGACCAAGTAACTGGTTGTGGTTACGTTACGTTCCTTGAAAAAGGCGTAACGACCCACACCTATTTGTTATCGATAATAATAGTTATACATTAGACTTTATTAAAAACATATTTCCAGGTAACGAGTGAATGAATCATGTCCAAGTCCAATGAAACTGAGAATTATGAGAGAGAGAATAAAGGCGACGGAGATGGCGACGGCGGCACCCAAATTGGTATAGGTCTGTGGCGTTATTTCAAGAAAAGTGACAAAGGTGGCAAATGTCTTATGTGTTCAGATGAACTAAAAATTAGTCAACGTTCTACCAAAGGCTTAAAAATACATTTAAAGACTAAACACAATATCGATATTAATTCTCGAAACGATGAGACTGGAGAAACATCCTTACCAGTTGTACCAAAGAAGAAACCCAAAACTTTGGACAGTTTTGTTATCAAAGATAACTCCATGAACAAAACGATCTCTAGAATGGTATGTAAAGACGGATTCACCTTAAGTTCCTTTTGCACATCTTCAGATTTAAGACATTTATTTTCTAAAAGCGGACACAAATTACCTAACTCGCCAAATACGATAAGATCTATCGTAACAAACTTTAGCAACACAGTCAAAGCTGACATGATTATAGAATTTGAACGTCTCAAGAAAGGAAAACATAGATTTTCACTCACATTTGACGAATGGACGTCACAAAAAAATCATCGATACTTAAATATCAACGTTCACCAGAAAGAAAATCATTTTAATCTGGGTTTGGTACGTATACAAGGCTCGGCTACCGCAGAACATTGCATTAGCTTAGTAAAAGAACGCCTAGCGAGTTTTGGTCTAGACTTAGACACAGATATTATTGCATGCACAACGGACGGCGCTAGTGTGATGGTGAAAGTTGGCAAGCTTTTGCGATGTTCCCAGCAGCTTTGTTTTGCACACGCCTTGCAGCTAGTGGTAGTTGATACACTGTATAAGAAAAGCAATTCACCAATACCAGAATGCCTAGCAGCCTCAATTGCGACGGAAACTGATATTTCTGATAATGATGACGACGATGATATGGACGCGAATGAACAGGGCGTAACTGTAAATATAAATTCACCATTAACACCACTTGAAATGACTTCTACATACGACAGTTTATTGAAGAAAGTGCGAAAAGTGGTCAAGATATTTAAACGATCACCAACTAAAAATGACCTCTTTTTACAAAAATATGTAAAAGAACAAGAAGGCCCTAAAAAAGAATTGGCATTGATATTAGACTGCCGGACTCGCTGGAATAGTCTTTTAAATATGTTAGAACGATTCTATAACTTAAAGAATTGTATCGATAAGGCATTAATAGATATTGAATCTGAAATTAAATTCAGCGATAACGAGTGGTTCAAAATCAATGATCTCATTGCCAGCTTGCAGCCTTTTAAATTGGGAGTTGAGGCACTGTGTAGACGAGAATCAACGCTTATAACTGCGGACACAACATTTCAATTTATTTTGGATAAATTGCAACAAAAAAATACGGTGTTGAGTAACCAGTTAACTCAGAGTCTACATGAACGTATTAAAGAACGCCGCACTAACTTGACAGGAATTTTAATTTATTTACAAAATCCGAAAAAGTACGACCAAGAAGCTAAAAATACAGATCGTAATCAAACATTCTTCATGCCAAAAAAAGCTGCAATACGCCAAGAAATAATCAAAATAATAGAGAGAGTCAGTACTGTTGAAGACGATGAAATGTATGCAGGTGACGTCTTCGAAAATACATCTGTAGCTGGTACATCCGTTACTGTAACTGACACGGCTTCTACACTTACGCTAAAAGAAGAATTAGAAAAACAACTCCAACAAGAAAAAGAAATATTTAAGAAAATACCAGACAATAAGCAAAAGGATTATGAAAAAAATTTGAAGAAAGAAATGGCATGTTTCGAGTCCGATGGTATCAGAGGAGAGTACCTGACGCTCGCCTATGAATATATCATGACTGTTCAGCCCACTAGCGTTGAAGCCGAGAGAGCGTTTTCGGCATCAGGATATATTTGTAGTTCACTTAGAAGCAGGCTTGGAGATAGTACTATAAATGACATTTGCTTTTTAAGAGCGTATTTTCAAAAGTCACAGTCGTAATAGTACCTTAAATTTAGTTATTTGGATAAGAGAAAGTTGTGATTTGACTGATTAGAATTTATTGTTTTTGTTGTTATTGATTACTTTTTGTGATTTCTTTAGTCATTATTATGAATAAGACAAAGTAGTACAAAACTATTGTTAGATATAAGGGTATAACGGTATAATTAAACAAAACTTTGATGCCTAACATTTAAAAGCTAAGATAAGTAAGACTGATTACTAAATTACTCGTACTTAATTTTATAATTTAATTGTTATTTTGTTCTTAAACAAACAATTTTTGTTGCATAATGTGAGACATGTTTGATTGCTCGTATTAAAAGTTGATTATTTAAATAAATCTCTGTAGTTTCAATTCGATTTTAAAACATAATTTTAAAGATGCGTGATCCCGCGGGATCCTGCGCGGGATTGGTCAATCCCGCATATCAATCCCGCGGGATTGAATATGCTGCGGGATTGCAATCCCTAGTCGAGATATACCAGTAATTGGACGGTCAATTTGATTTCATAGAAATAGCTGTGATAAATCATTCGGAACGGCGAATATAATTCAATGCATTGAGTTAACTTAATGTGTTTAAAATTTACTAGGCACATTTCATGATGAATGGAAATACTATTAGTCATTGCTGCCATTAACGTTAACAAACTAATATAAACGTTCATTTTACGCACTACGTAGGTGGGGGTCGTACAATTGATTATTATGATACGAAACCTGTTTTCCTCGAAGGTTGAGTAGAAAATTGAACTTAGTATATTCAAGTAGTCCTTTTTTCGGTATGGGGTTGGGTATTTGCGACCTTTTATTAATTTCATTAGCGCAGCGATAAAGCTGTTCCACCAGAGTGGCAAGCACGCCCACACGGGGTGGGTAACGTGACATTTGCACCCCCAAAGCCCTCGCGCCGCCCTGCTAACCCCCCAGCCCACGTGCCTCATCCGAACAATATTTCAAGTAGCCTTCGGGCATCCTCGGTACCTAGTAATACTCATAGTAAACAATGAGTAAAGTTTTTTGTAAGGATTAGCCACCAAGATCCTTGTAAGACGACCCCGAGATGTTTACGTTACTGCATGTCATCCTTTAAGTATAGAAGTGATGAATACGAAGTGATAAACTATATGTGTGATGTAAAGCAAGAATATAAATAGAAAACCTAAAAATTGCGAAGTGCAATACCGCAAAAATAGAACATTAGTTATCTAACTAACAAAAATAAAAAAATCGTCGCGCCTGCAGAGTTCCGCGTCCGCAAATCAGCCCCTTGCATCCCCCGCTGGACTGGCAGGGCGCGGGGCTGGTCTAAACAGATTATCCGCTGTCGTGCACGCCGCCGCCGGGTCAGACCGTTAATCTTCGCGCAAATAGGCTCACGTACAACCGTGGAACTATGGTACCCGCTAAAATTATAACCGCTGTCGGACGGTTAAGCATTAAAAGGGATATTGCTACCACGATACATGCAGTAAAGATATGTTAATCACTGTTTTTATAAGGGTTCACTGCGGTTTACTGTGTAATTAACATGTGTTGTTATTGGAAACATCAGTAAGTTCTATATATTGATGAAAATAAATAGAAGTGCTCGTTTAATGGACTAGATTTTTTGAATGTTATAAAATTGTTAAAATGTTGGTTTACTTGTTACTTTTAGGAGCAATAAAAGTAAAAACACACGACAGTGCACTCAATAAGCAGCTTATAGAGTAATCAATTGTGAAGTCAAACGTATTTCGTTGGCCGGTACGAACGGGAAATTGCCATACGTCCGGCTATTTCCGTCCGTCCGCAGTCGCGCGTACGACAGAGCGTATTGCGACCTTCGTGTGCAGTTGCATACAAGACTAAAAGCGTCTCGGAACCACTAGAAACTCCACCATCTAGCAGTTAAGCTTCAACATTGTCATATACTTAACTGATCATATTTTAATGCAAACGAAACCAGCTGTAAGGATGCTAACAATAAATCTGCTTATATGCGGGTTTCGTAAGCCCATGAGTATTATATCCAAAAAGTTTGTTAAAAAGGAGGGACATTTTATATCAGAAATAATGAGACTTAACAAGTAAGTCGAGTTTTGCAACATTTAAGCGGCGAACAATACGAACACAAAATAATGATAAACTCTAACGTCGCCGGAACGTCCTTGCGGTACCCGTTTCCATATAAGCGGAAACTGGGTGACCGTGGAGAGATTTATCGTAGCAATAAGACTTATATTTAGAACGATCCCCGAGTATTTCAACTCCAAAATAACTTGACATCAATGTGCGAATACGTTGGGAAACCAAGAGTAATCAAACGTAAAATGTGTGACAATATTAATTCTGGGAGTTTGGCTTCAACTGTGTATATTATATTGGAGTTAATTGCCAAACCGAACAACTTTTCTACGAACAAATTATTGACACAAGTATAAATTTTCAAACAAATCGTGTCGATATCAGCAGTCTATTTGCATGTATGTTGACACAATTATATGAATTTATTGATATTCACATCCAAGATGCGTAATCAGCCCTTTAGTACTGTTGGCAACGTTTCAACAAGCGACGTCCACATGCCATGCTGATGTACTCTCGCACAGTAGCCATGACAGTGAGGCCGGTCTGAAAGCATTTCCTTCGATACCTCAAGGACATGAGTAAGAGGACTTTGACCGATGCTAAGTCAGTATATTACTGCATATTAGCATGTTACATGTTGTTTAACCCTATAGAAATGGTAGCAGATAATACGGGCTTCCCACGCTCGACTCAATTGTGAGACACGGACCGCGACATTACAACGGACAATATTCTTACTACTTATATCGTAGTCGTGCAAAAAGAACGCAATGACAAAACCATTTACTCAGGAAATGAGTCGCAAAGTTCGTTTGGCGGAAATTTTGTAGCAAACCTCGGCGCCTCTACCTCGAAGCCCAGCGATAAACGTAAATAAATAAGTGTAGGACCGTAGATGGTATAAGAAAATTCTGTGTAAGCAATAGAATTTCCACGCCTTACGGAAACTTAATTGGATATTGATTGGCGGAGGGTTTGTAGTTTGTAGTAACAAGCAACGAGTTCCAATGTGGAGGCACGGTCTCGAGCGGCGTCATTCAGTTTTTAACATCTGTATCGGGCAGGTCGTAACCGAATGGATAACACGTTTACTGCTACTTAGCACATAGGTGCGATATTACACAACTTTTCCTGTCGACTAACGCCTCTGTGGTACATCCGATCGAAACTAGTGTATTGTGTTATGTTGTACCTCTATTACGATTTAGGTTAATGATCTTTAACTTTGGGTGCTTAACGTTTATGAAAAGAGGTCGAGGAGAGAAGACTGAGAAAGAAAAAAAGCTGATTAAACCAAGAGATAGACGACTCAAAATGAGAAGAATTACAAATGTAAATAGTTGAATGATCTGCAGAAACAGGATCTCAATGTGAAAAGCCAACAAGCAAAATTGAAAATAACAAAGGAAAAATCCTTGACAATGCCGCGGCCGCGTAGCGAACATATTAGCAAAACAATAATAATCTGTTGTTTATCTAACATGCGGCTATCAACCTATCGAGTGGTATGTTAACTAATAGAATCGCAAGGTTGAAACAATTGAGTTAGCGACCGCTGCCACTGTCCGTACAAGCCCCGTAATTTGACTACCGAGAAACCGAGCCTTTAGAAAGAATAATCCGATTATTAAGTTATAGCTACTACACAAACTTTGTAATGTAAGTTACAACTTAGCGACAAAAAGGCAACATCATTATTAAAATTTCATTCCATACATTTGTATTACAGGTTATTTTGAAAAGTTCGTTCCCAAGTAACCCTTGCTATTAAAGGACACATTACCGTAACAGTTAAACGGACCGGTTTAAATAGTAAACAAGGATAAAGTAACATTGCTGTTAAAAACTCTATAGAAGCACAATGTCAATGCCACATTACACAATCACAGTTTGACCTTCGCCGTGTCCATGTGTAATATTGATCAGGTCCAACTCTGCAACGCTGAAGGACTTTTAAATCATTCACTATATATTTTGATGAAGTCCAGATTTCGGTAATTTCTTTGGGAAAATACAAACAATGTAGAAGAGTTCGTTTGAAGGCTGTCTTAGGCACAAAAATCATTATGCATTAGATAGAATAATCAGTATCAAGTGATGACACAAAAGAAGGTTATAAAGATCTAATATACATTATGAAGCAAATCAGACTACTACTGATTGAGTGTCAATGACCTGTAGGTGTACACGTAAAGATTGATCGTGAAGAAATATAAATTCTTGCCATTGAAAAACGGAAGAACACAAAGAACAACAAAAAAATAGCTTTGACTGCATGACTGCATCTGATATGTTGCATATAATATTATTTTGGAATTTTCATTGATATTTTATATCAACTTTAGCATACAAGAATGTCACTCGAAGAGTATTAAATAAATAATTTTCGGGGAAGTAGAACAAAGCTACATAAAATCATAAGCAACGGCCAAAAAGTTACACAAAAGGAACATTCAAAACAGTAGTGTTCTTTCATGCTTCTTTGTAAACTTTGTTTACAATGTGGCACAAGTAAAACAACTCAAATTACTTTATACTAAGTGGTATCGGTACAGAAAGGCTGATATCGTGTGGATAATCATAAGCGGCAAACCAAAACAATGGTCGGGGACCAAAATAAAGACCGTTTATGTAGATTTATGTCACGTTCTATTTTAGTATTCGACCAGTCGCGCGTGAACTTGCCCGCTAGAGGGCGCGCCGTGTAGTGCGCACGCGCCGTTCGATTCAAACAAGAGTACTTACAGGAGGAAAACTCCAACGTTCGAAGAACGGTGATGGGGTATTAGTCATTTACAAACGTAATTTTATGACTATTTCCAATTGGATGAGACTACCATGATTTTAATAGCATTTAATTAATGGCATAATGACTATGAAGATTTATACGTAATGGCAATAATATATTCATGAGTAAACTACTACACAATGTTTGTACGTTGTCGTTTGTTAAATAACAATAAAATAGAGATACAATAAAACAGTTCGGAATTACTTAAAGTTAAGATGTGAAAGAATCGTTTCAATTTATAGTTGGAGACTTCAATAAGTCATTCCAACCCTCAACGAAACCAGAGGTGAAACAAAACCACCTGTTGAATGAGATCGCTCAGCGAAAAATATTGGATAGATGTCTTAGAATGTTTGTAATCCTGCCACTTTCTTAGATGAAGATGTCACTTGAACATTATGATTTGTAGATTTTTGAGCAATGCAAAGGGAATTATTAAGAGATGCAGTTTATTTTGCAACACCTAAGTAATACTATAACCAAGTTCTATAGAATTTAATAAACGCACACGTAAACAGAGACATAAAACTGCTATTCAAACTTAAGTAATATAAAATTAACTATACATTCAGAGATTTTCCTGTTTCTTGGATGCTAATATTATCATTTTACTAAATTACATTTTACTAGTGTGGTTTATTTTATTACCTAATTTGTGTTACAAAGCCCTAATAATTTAATTAAAAAGTTCCTAATAAGCCACTCATTCTAAATAGGAGGAGGAGAGTGATTCGGGAATAACAAATAATTTGGAAAAAAGCCTAACCAAGGATTACATAAACACACACCGTGCTTAGGTTGAACATACAATGCATACAGCCATACAGGGAGGAAAACCCGAAAAGTATTGAAAACTTGCAAAGTAATTTTAAATCTGCTTGAAAATGAAAAATAGGACAAAAACTACGCAGCTGAAAAGAGCGAGAATACACGAGGAAAAGAAAAGCATCACGAATTTACTTAAGATGAAAGGGGCAAGTGTCCCATAGAACCGCCCACTAAAAAGGCTGACGAAATCGAGGTCATGTTTCGGCGTAAATTGGGCGGGCGGCCGCACAGGCTTGAGCTTATGGGCGAGAGACCTACCGCTAAAATATAAATGAAGATTTCCTCCAGGATTACCAGCACCAGACCGGGTAATGAAATTTTATGATAGCGCACTTCTGTAAACCAGCCGATTTTTAGCCTTCAACAACTTTAGGGCATAACGCTTTAAAATGTAATCAAGAAAATAGACTTGCAATGTCGTTAATTTTAAGACACTTCAGCATTTTGGATTATCTAATGAATTTTAATATGGGATCCTTCAAATTCAGAGGAATGCTAATACTGCTGGTAAACGCAAATTAATGTTGAAATTGACTTCAGGAATATAGTCCTCAATTCTGTATAGAATAAGCCTTTGATTTTGTGTGCATTTCGCAACAAAGCTTTTGAGAACACAAACAGCCTATATTTAGCATCTTTTATTTTCGTAACTAAAGCATCTAAAATTCCCTCTCTCAACGGATAATTTTAAAAGAGAGGTAGTTTCCAATTCAAATATATTCCCGAGCATTCCATAAAAGGATCATCCATTACGTTGATTACTTGCTCCGTTCTTTCCAGACTGGTTCCTTCCTGGATTCTCTATTGTCGTCGGCTTGACGTCGCGAGATCTTAATCTTTCTGTTAATTGTCGCTATACAACGTCTCTCGGTTTGGTTAACGAGCTGTTAACTTGAGCCATTGTGTCGCCTGTCTTCACAAGATAATCTACTCAAATCGCGTAATGTTACACTGTGTAATTTGTATTTTTATTATCATTTTTGTTGAAGTAACTACAGTGTGTTATTAATTTTATTGCATTATTATTGTAAACATGGTTTAATAATTGAGATTTCAATGATAAGAACATCATGCAGTAGTGTTCGTTGATGATTGTTGTTGTGTTGCATGATACATTTTATAAACACATGTAAACCTGAACTGATGTTTCATGATATTAATTAATTACTAATTGATTGTCGATTTTTGATTTTTCATTAAATAGTTTACTTAGTCACTAAAGAAATAAACAAATACTCACGGCTTGTTATCAATTCTGGTGCAACGAGACCATTGAGGTCAGGTTCTTCGCCGTACCAGAATATCCATAGCTCTTTAGCAGCTCGGAGGGAGAGAGGCGGCGGGACGGGCGTGCTTATCTCATAGATATTGTCGGGCGGTGGCGGCGCCGGCACCCGCCGCCACACGCACAGGATATCGCCAGCTAGGCAGCGCGCATAGCTGCTGATCACTGGGTCAGCCAGCGGCGCGCCACCCTCCTCCCCGTCGCCGCCGCCATTCGTCTCCCCCCATACGAGCTTACGCCATTTTATGCCATAGAGCTCCGTCTGGAAAAGAATGAAAAAGAAGGTCAATCATCAGCTTCTTGCAAAGCGGTTTTCAGAAGAGAGTAAACGTAATGACATTTACACATATCATAATGCTGAAGATGTAATAATAAATTGCAGTAACCTATACTTAATACGACTCACGTGCCAATATAGATCAGCGTTTGTAAACATTGAAACGTTCCGAAAACAATAAGATGTCCTCGTCGCCAAACTTGCCAACATGGACCGCATTAAACGTCCGCATAATCAGGACGAAAACTGTACAGAGACCTCGAAATTGTTCTAAAATTGTATCTGGCAAGAGTCCAGGGGGACAGAGGTGCAAGATCAGAGGTATTCTGCGGCGGACCAGGAAGCTGCTTTACTAACGCGAATTATAAGTTGGAAAACTCTGCTATCTCTGGAAGCTTTTGCATGGGACTTAATAACGACATGAAATTTATTTATAGCTTCACATGACTCCATTATGATACTTTTAATACGTAGATATTATCGGATTGTTTTTGTATTCACGACACGTGTACGTAATGAGTATCGTTACTCGCTTGATAAAGTTATTGAGAGAAAACCTAGCGTCAACGCGATTATTATTAACACATTTTATGAACACGAGAATTTTATTAAAACGCTCCGTGAAGCGACATCCGCAGCACCTGTGTCCGCTATTATGGGTAAAAACCTTTCATAAATACTGTTATAATAAACATTCATTGGCCAATTCATGTTGATGATATACGCGTAATATTTTAAGTGTATTTATCGACATCAGCTGTAGCGGGCTCGTGAGCGCACGAGGAAATTTTAAAGCAAATAATTATACTGATGTAAAAATAAACGGTTCAAATTAATTAGGAATATTGCGATGGACATAACGAGTTACTTTCACTTTTCTTTTTTGTTTGATCTGTGAATCTATACATATAATAAAATCGTAGGAAAGTGAAAACTTTGATAACTTTTTGAATACTTTGGGCGTGATGTACACTCGATAGCAAAACCAAAATTATGTTTTTAAAATTTTTGTCTGTTTGTCTGTATGTCCGGGATGAACTCAAAAAGTGTTGCATTGATTTACTTCAAATTTTGCATGAATATTACTAACTGGTCGGGTCAACATATACGCTACAATATTATCATGCTATCAACTACGGGGGAGGAGCTGTGAATCACTATTCAACGCAGACGAAGTCACGGACTCAGCTAGTTGGAAATATTTATATGGAATGCCAATTAAAAGGCTGTTTTCCAGAAAATGTTATGCTTAGGATATAAACATGGCGTAGGTGGTTGAGAAACTTACTCATAATTTGAGTAAGTATTACATTACAACTGGATGGTCGCATGAATTCATTGACTCCATCAAGTTTCCCATAATTTTACAAACAAAGTATAACTATTTTTCACACCTAACCCTAAAATGAGCAAGTATCCAATTAGTTTCCCATTCACAGCGCCATTAGTGAGCGTCAATTGCACGGCTAAGTGTGAGTACAAGCGGCAGGTGGTGTTGCGACCTTGGGTATGCAAATATTTTATCGGGTCAAACACCCATCGACCCTCACTGGACACTGGCCGTCTTTAGCGCTCCTATGTTTTTCAACATCGTTGAAGTTTTCACTTTCATTATTGTCGTTCTTAAGATTTTTGGAACAAGTTTGAGGAAAAACAAGTCCCATCATTGCAAATAAGGATGCTTTGAAGTTTTGAAAAGCTATATTTAAAAAGCTAAAGTTCTCATAGCGAGGACGGAAATTTAAATGTAGGTAGCCTCAAATATAAACAAATATGTTAAATTGTTTAAACACTGCTTCCCAAAAGCTTCCAACCCTTTACGGCTCGCGGTCGGAGGCACTCAGTTTCTGGTCATTTAAATAAACATAAAACGACACACAGTAAACTTGGTTCAGTTTTAATGGCAGTAAGTTGAACGTAAATATAAGTCATTACGTAAACTGATATTTGTTTTAATGTAAACAACTGGCTATCTGTTTAGCTACTTGTGGTAGGTATCCGAGGACTTATCACAATTATTTTTGTAGTCGATTATGACCTGATTTGGCTTTGAAATCACATTTTTGTGGAGAAATAATGTTGTTGTGAAGGATAATTATTGTTAACTAAGAAAAATTGGAGCCGTATTACTTAGTTTAATTTAATAAAGTCAACAGTTCATTGTACAATTTTCACGATACGCGCATCTGCGGCGGAAGGGGCTAAACGCACCTGGCAGACGTGTCGCGTGGGGTCGCATCGACCTAACGCGATAAGGGGAGGACTGTAACTCCAAACGAGTTTAGTGTTAACTTCTAAATGAGGGGTTATTGTTCGATACTTAAAACACGCGTACTAAACGATGTTTAGATATAAAATTATACAAGTCATCAGTTTATGGCGGGCTATACCGCGGAAGTTTTATTGCAGTTTTATTAGCCATAGCAATTAGGATTTTATTGAAATATAATAAGCGTATATAATCGTTGACAGAGATTAAATCGTTTTATGGTATGCACGGAGCTGCTATTTATTGAGCATTAGTTCAAGAGCAATAGTGCAATCCATTATATTACTTGTAGCTTTATTGAGGAGCTGTGTACAATAAGTAGTTGGATAACATTCTTGAGTACATATGTATGGAGGAATGCGTCAAGCTCGGTGTCGTGAATGTTCGTTCGGGCGGCGCCGGGGCCGGCCGGCAGTGGCCGCTTTCTAACGCGCCCGATGCGCCCGCGCAGCCCGCTTCACTTTCTATTGTGCGACGTGACGACTTGTCTTCATTTTACATTAATTTGTTTATTGAATTGTCTTTAATTTATTAATACTGTAATTGACTGTAACTACTTAAATATACTAAAGAGGTCGATGCCATAACGACATCCAGAATTCCAAACATTAGGTGTAATGTTTGCAATAAAAGCTTAAAGCAATCGAGTAAGTACACTCCTAATGTATGCACGAGTAAGTGAGCAAAGGAACTCATCAATAAAACATGGCGTAAACGAGTCGCTAATGTATTTCCAATACACCCACACTCAGGTCAATGGATCACAATGAAAATTCAAAAGATACAGTATCTTGCTGGGATCTGACTAAATCGCTTTGTAGATATTACGCAAAAATATTCCTCGACAAAGAGCATACTGCACTGGCTAGAGCAAGTTTGTCGGGAAAAATCTGTGGTTATTTGAATTTAAAATGCGAAACGAGCGCCGGATGGACGACTAGCTCGACGATAACACCCCGGATGAAGCTGGTCGAAAGCCATGGCTTTTCCGGAAAACAGCGAATGTATCCGATTCAGAAGCGGCGTTACGTCACTACATGCAAGCCTTTGAAAAGTTTTAAGTCAAATGAGGGCACGGCTTTAATATGCAGTTTTTTATTTTATCCAGTTACTAAATGGTTTGGTTTTTGCTTATGTCTATAATCAAATCAGAATCAGAGGGTACCGCGGGATAACAGAATACATGTGTGTATTGTTTCCTTCCAGTCAGTTATTTTATTCGTCGACTCAAACCATTATTGAGTAGACATACCTATGTCCTTCCGTTGAAATCGTTTGCATCATCTGCATATTCGGACATATGCACTTTGGTTTGGTTTAAGCACACGCACAACAATCTACATCATTCAATTTTTATAATATTTTTTCACTATAGATTGTTTTTATTGCCCTACTATTTTTTAATGAGTATTTTTATTGAATAAACAGTTTTCTTTAAAACAATGATCCCGTAAAGCGATCATAACCTAGAACGGAAAAAAACTGCATGTCCAAAAAAGTCGAGCACCGCTAGTCGAGTGAGCGGGACAAATGTATGCGACGTAAGCAAGACAGCGGCAATCGCGAAAGTGAGAGGAGGCGAGACGCGGAGCGGCAACAACGCGCGGTTACGTTACTAGCGGGGTAAACAATCGAGGATGATGTGACGGTGCGCTGCGCGTGCGACCGCCCCCGGCCGTGCACTTCGCTACTGCATTTTTGGCGTGTGACGTCACTAGATGCGTTTCGTTTTTTGGGGTGAACTATTTCGTTTACCTGGAGTCAAATGGTCAATCATTGCGCTGTTAAAACAGTAAATAACACAGTTGGCTCAACAGAAATAGTCCCCTAAAAATAAGTGTGTTTGTAAACAGTGTCAGAAATCCTATAGTTGCCGAGTAGCGAGCATACGGGTTGCTTGTTAGAATTTCGGCAAAGTATAACGGCACAGTTATCGGCGCGGCCGCAGTGCGTGTACACCGTGTGTGGTGTGGTCGCTGGTCGCCACTGTCTACTTCCGCGAACGTCAGCATTATTATGGATTGCGCGTGTTGAACTTATGTCACACGGCTGTTGCTAAGCGCCTTACTTGTTTTTTTTTCTTATATGGTACTTTGAAGTGTATAGGAAGTCTCTTTAGAATGTCAAGGACGAAGAATCTTGTGCTGGAAACTTAAACTATCTGTAATTTATGAATATGATAAATAAAGAAAACGAAATTTTCAATTTTAGAAGTTTATAGAATCTTCATAAAAACGATTGATAACCTATTTGGTTGAACAGATTGCAATGGAGCCTTTATGAGACGATTAACTTACACAAACATACCATCGTAATAAAACCATTATAATAAAGACAATATTTACTGCGGACAACAGTTACCTTCTGCATACACACGACCACTGACGTACGCACACAGGCAATACAAGTCGACGATATACTACCACATTACTTGCGAGTGGGCGGCGGCAAACGGCAACACTTAGCATTTGATGTTTCTTACTCTGTCTGCATAAAGTAGAACGAGTGAGACGGAATGACAAGACGCACAATTTTTACCAATGTTGTCATGATAAAATGATTACCTTTGACCCCACAGATTCGTATCACTTGCCAGTTAAAATTAAACTTGACGCTGGTTCCTCAATAACATGTTAAACTGACATGAAATTTTCAAAGAACGCAGAACTGTTTTTAAATCTAGAGGAACAGAATTCAATGCAGACTTAGGTACGGA